GTATGTCTACCAGAGTGGCGCAGGATGTTACGCACTTGATACAGCCCCAAGCCCTGGACCCTAAACCCCTAAACCCTAGACCCTAAACCCCTACTTGGAGGTTCATGGGTAGTTATAAATGGGGTCATAAGTCCCCTACTATGGGTTATAATTAAGGTTACCCTACTTATAACCCACTTATAACTACCCATGAACCTCCAAGTAAGCGCTTTGATCGAACAAACTGCTCAACTCCCCAGAACTGCAACCCGAAACCCTGGCCCTGGCGAAACCTTCCATGGTTTGACGGCCTTAGTGCTCCCAACCCTACGGCCCCGCACCCTAAACCCCTAACGCGATAAACCCTATCTAAGAATCTACCTAAGCTATACCCATAGGCTCCCTTTGTAGTTGTTTTTTTGGGGTTACCTTATAAGATCCTAAAGATAAACCACATAAAGGAACTATCATGGAGCCTCTAGGTACACCCCTTACTAAAAAACCGTGAAAGCCCAAAACACGTCCTGGAACCCTGAAGCACTACACCGTAAAACCCAGACCGCAACCCAACTTAGCCCCTAAACCCGAAACCTTTAAACCCGAAGCCCTAAACCCCTCAGCCCTAAACCCTTAAACCTTACATTCCAAACCGAAACCCCAGACAGCTAGGAAGCCTCCTCCCTGATTCACAACTCACTCCCAAAACCTTGAACCTTAACTGCCTAAATACCCTAAACTCCCAAAACCCTGAACCCTAAACTCCCAAAACCCTGAACCCTAAACTCCAAAAACCCTGAACCCTAAACTCCCAAAACCCTGGACCGCTGCTGAGTGCAGCGCATACTCTTGCATTGTCTTGCCGGAGCCCTTGAAGTCCCGGCACCGGGTGACCTGAAGCTCTATCGTTCTATCGTTTCGGGTTCAGGGTTTAGGGCTTATATATAGGGTTTAGGGTTTAGGGTTTATAGGGTTTAGGGTTTATAGGGTTTAGGGTTTATAGGGTTTAGGGGTTTAGGGGTTCAGGGTTGGAGCTCGGCGCTTCGAGTTGATACTCGCGGTGAGGGCTGCATTACGAAGGTGAGAGCAAAGGCGAAGATACTGGACCAAGAAAGCCCTTTTGGTCAATCGCCAATCTTTCTGAAGCATAGGAAAAAGCGCCGCATCAGGCCAAAGCGTATGTTCCAAGTACGGCAGCAGAATCTTCACAAAATCCCAACAGCGGGACATGTGGGTCGCCAGCCGCTGTATCACACTGCTGACGCCGACGTCACCAAACATGGATGCAAACTTCTGCTGCAATCTCAGCCAGCATGTGTGCTTTCCACACTAGTGATCAAGGCTTGCTGACTGACGGACACTCAGGTACTTACTATCAGACATGCAGCGAGATATTGCACTGCACTATGTATTTGGGTGTGGGATGCCACGTGGGTTAGGGCTCTATTGCTCAGCGCTCATGTTGGGCTTAAGGGTTCCATTGCTTAGGGTTATGTGGGTTCGGGGTTCTGTTGCTTAGAGTTCTATCTGGGTTCTATTGCGTGGGTTCTATCGTGAGGTCCATTGGTAGTTATAAGTGGCGTTACAATATAAGCAAGGTAACTACATTTATAACTAACCGGTAACTTTGTAGACTTTCACACAGAGGCCCTGCAAAAAGCTCTATCAGCCAAGCTCTATAAGGGCTCTACAATAACACGAGTTCGATCAGGGTTTTATGGGTTCAGTGATGGCAGGCGTTTATCCTAAGGATCCAACCAAGTACTTAATAATCATATACTCTCCCAAATATTAACCTAGATGACCACTATCCGCAACGGAAGTACCTTGTTTGAACCCTTAGGGTTACAGTTCTAACCATGGGGTTTTTAGGCTATACTTGCAGGGTGTCGACCCCAAGGGTCCGAGATTTTGAGCTGAGGTTTTGGTGAGGGTTTAGGGCAGTTTATGGCAGTTTAGGGCAGTTTAGGGTTTAGGGCTTAGGGCAGTTTAGGGTTTAGGGCTTTAGCTGTTGAGATCGCACTGTACGCAAGGGGAATTACCTTAAGGACCCTAATCTGTGGGCATTATGTTATAATCGAAATTGCTGGTAATGCAGGATTTCTATCATCAACCGAAGTGACTGGAGACCTGCGGCAGGAAGGACGAGCGCATTCCACCAAAAACGGTACATGCCAAAAGGCTTGAAGTGACAGCCCTAAACCCTCAACCCCTGGACCCCAAAACCCTAAACCCTTAAACGCCCTAAACCATAAACCCTAAACCCTGAACCCCTATAACCTAAACCCTAAACCCTAAGACCCCTGGCCGGCTAAGCCGATGCACACGGCATCCTGTCATAACACTGCATGGAGCGAGAGCTTCCCTGTAGGGAACTCCAGAGTTAAGGCTTTAGGGCTTTATAAGTCTTGGGACTTAGGATTTATAAGGGTTAGGGTTTGGGGTTTAGGATTTAGGGTTTAGGGTTTCGGATTTGGGGTTTCGGGCTTATGGGCTGTAGTTAGGGTCTAGGCCGGTCTAGGCGTTAGGCTTGAGGGAACCTAGATGCCTAAAAGCCAGAAGCCCTCTAAACACCGAAACTTTCCTTAAACCTTGCCCCCTCCTCGGAAAGCAAGGGTAAACACCCCGATCAAGGCCACGTAGTAATGTAGCAACGAAAACCTAAATAACAGAAAACTTGTTCAAGATCCGGTAATATTTTAACTTTAACTGTCATGATAACAGCAAAACCCTCAACTGATCAGGCAGTGGGAAGCAGGTGTTTTGGCTGCACAAATCCAGCCCGAGCCCCAATGGCTCGCACAGGTCAAAGCTCAAAGCCCCCCGCACCACTGGGCGCGCACCGACTTGGAGCACACTCGCTCCTCACACGACGAATATCTGCCACCCATCAGGGGCGGGCGGGCAAATTTCAGCAGCTTCGCCTGAAAACACAGCAGTACCTGGCACCTGACAAGAGACTGTGCTGATCAACGAGGGTTACGTGTGTGCCTTGGCCTATCCCACCAAACCTCAAGGCAAACTACCCAACCCTCAACTGATCAGGCAGTGGGAAGCAGGTGTTTTGGCTGCACAAATCCAGCCCGAGCCCCAATGGCTCGCACAGGTCAAAGCCCAAAGCACAGCCGCAGCCAAAACCCTGCCATGAGTACCCAACCACCCCAAGCACCAGCGCAAATGGCACGTCTTCCTGGGAATCCAGCCTGAATGTCAAGACACACACACACACAGACAACCAAGGCACCACACTGATGTCAAAGGCTAAGGACAGGAGCCATTCTTGGAGGCACCACTTCGAGCTTAAGCAGCACGCGCTAGCGCCTCCGGACGACCTGCATCCAGCACCCCTCTCCAATCCAACGATCGCCTCTTCGCTGGATCCAGCTGTGCCCAGTTCGAATACTGGGTCCTTGGCGCTTCCGCGCGAGAGCGTGTCAGCCCACTCATTCCGAACTCCGGCTAGATGGCTCACACGCAGGTTAAGGCGCTCTTTCATGCAGAAGAGGGCCGTGGCTTGAAGGACCGAAGCCAAAGGTTGCTTCATGGAGAGACCCTTTTCACACGCGCCCACGACGCCCAGGTTATCACACCTCTGTCGAACCGCCAAGCAACCCACGTTGGGCGAGCGAATGACTCGGGATCCTGTCGCTGTAGAACCTGCAACACTAGCTGAGCGAGGGCCTCCAGAGAGGAAATGACATCCTGCAACCCTGCACCCTTCGGCACGAACCACTCGGGCAGGGATGACTTATCCAAAGACATGGAAAACCAGCAAATGGAAGACACTGCCAGCTGCGCTTCGTTCGGCATCCACCACCCACCGATGCCTGCACAAGTCGAGCTGGCAAAGGCATCTGCCGCCGCCACACATTGTGTCGCTGGGGTCTCGACTAAATGCACTGGCACGCGCCCCAAAATCAGCTGCAGGAAGAAAGCAGCTACACAAGCCTCATCCTTAGATGGCCGCACTTGGGCGGACGCACGGCCATGTTTGGTCCGACATCTGCTCAGGTCAGACGACTCCTTGGCCACCTTGCCGCCGCATTCCGCTAAGCGCCGCCCAGTTTGTACATCGGAAAGAGTGGCACAGCGCGTCACCCGCAGATCCGCGTCGAGCAGACGCTGGAGTTCCCATAACTGCTCTCCGTCAAGGTTGTAGAAGTGCATGGCTGGTTTCAACAGCATATGGAACCACATCGCCATCCACGGCTTTAACCAACGGGCACCACAAGTATACCACGACAACAGACCAACCAGTGACTCGAACTCACGCCGCCGCACCCACAGCCTCTGCGTGACGGCTCTCAGCCCTGCCTCTAGCCGCAAAACTTTGTCTTCCGAAAGTGTAGCGCACGGCTGACCATCGAACTGTAGTAACCAGCCAATCCACTTCAGCGTGGTGCCCAGGGACATCTTCTTCCATGACAGCGGGACGCCGAGGCTGCAGGCTAGCATAACCTCAACGCATGCCATCAACGTGGCTGACGCCGCTGGGAACAAGGAGAGCTCGCCGTCAACATACATGGACAGAAAATGAGAGCTGTGCAACAGAATGTGGCAAAGCCGAACGAACCCAGCCGCCACGCGAGACCACCAGTACGCACTCCACGCACCTCCGAAATGACAAGTCAAATAAACCAACCAATGTGTGCGGCTCTGGGGATCCACTGCAGTGAACACTGAGAAGTCCTGCTCGGAGGGCGCCACCTTCACGCGCTTGTGCGCCTTCTTGACGTCTAAGGAGAATGCAACCCAGTGCTGCTGCTGGTGGCGGGACATGAACCGGATCACCTCCGCCAAGCCCGGGAGCTCAATCTTTTCCCAGCTTCGCCTGAAAACACAGCAGTACCCGGCACCTGACAAGAGACTGTGCTGATCAACGAGGGTTACGTGTGTGCCTTGGCCTATCCCACCAAACCCCAAGGCAAACTACCCCAATAACAACAAGCACAATAATAACAATAGTTACAACGATAGTAACAACAACAATGGTAAACACATATTTATAGCAATATTAAAAGACACAACAGTAACGGTTTTAAACTAAACAAAATGGCAACAATAAGAATAACAAGCCAACACCCAACCCTCAACCCTAAACCCTGCACCCTATACCCTGAACGCCTAAACCCCAAAAGCCCCAAACCCCACGGGGTAGTTCTCTAAATTAGGGTCCCTTTTTAAGTCCTTAACATAGTACGGAACCTTTTAAAAAGTACCCTAAAAGGGATCATACTTTAGAGAACTACCCCATTGGCATCCTGTCTCCAGAGAGCCCAATAGCCCTTAACTAAGGAATATATATATATCTCTCTCTCTCTCTCCCTCTCTCTCTCTCTCTCTCTCTCTCTCTCTCTCAAACTATAGGGGCTTTTAATATTAGGGTTTAAGCTATATTCCTAAATTAAGGGGTCCCTTGGGCTTTCTGGGAACCCTAAACCCTATAAATCCTATAAACCCTATAAACCCTAAACCCTAAGCCTTAATTCTTAAACCCTAAACCCTAAACCCTAAGCCCAAACCTTAAACTGATGAGTCTCAGCTCTGAGTCCCTGGCTCCCACCACGCAGTCGACCCCCCGGTCGAGGCGTGCGAGATGAAGCCTCGGAGTTTTTTGGGGGGTTTTGTGGGTTTTGGGGTTTGGGTTTTGGGGTTTAGGGGTTTGGGGATTTAGGGTTTATTGTTTAAGGGTTTAGGGCTTAGGGGTTTAGGGTTTGGGGTTTAGGGGTTTAGGGTTTAGGGGAAAATATCGGAAAGTTTGGGAGTTTGGGATTTCATAAGAGCCTTGATTGGGAGCCTTGCTAACTCGAAGGGGCTTTTTTGGGGGCCCATGAGACTATACTAGGTTCCTCAGTGACCCCTACATAATAAGGGTACCCTTTTTCCTAGTACTCGGTGATAAGGGAACCCAAAAAGAAAAAGGGCAAAAGGGTACTGGGGGACCTAGTATAATGCAGAGGGCTTCATGATGGGAATCTTCGGGCTCTCTGCATAGACGAGCCCCGTGCGCGAAGGACCGCAGATCGGAGCCAATACCCAGCTTCCCGACCTGGACGTGTAGGGTTTGGGGTTTAGGTTTATAGGTTTGGGGCTTACAGCGTTTAGGGCTTGAGGCTTGAGGATTAACGTGTAGGGCTTAGGGTTGAGGGTTCTTCTTTTTGGAGGGGGGTTCGGGTTTACACTACCAGAGACTCGATCAGGGTTTCGGATCACGGTTGAGGTTTTGTTTGCAGGGTCTTTAGGTTTGTAACTGGCTTATAAGATTTGTACTGGATTCCTTTATGCTTTCAATGATTTGGAAAGCTGTGTAAGGATGTATCAGAAATCCGTGCAGAGGTCTTCCTTAAGGTAGGTCGGAATGCTTGTACCGGGACTTCAACCCTAAGCCCTAAACCACCCCAAAGGCGAAAGCCTAAACCCTTTACACGACATCTCACAGAGTTTGTCTGAAGAGCACCCGGGCGTTTTGGGTTTAGGGTTTAGGGTTTAGGGTTTAGGTAGCAACCTCAGCCCTCAGCCGTCGAGTTTCGGGCTTAGGGCTCCCTACAGGAAACTTGGACCCCACACCAAAACCCTAAACCCCAAACCCAGGGTTGGCGCATTGGGGGGGCGGCTTCCACGCTAAAAGACTTTCGGCCGGGAAAGCCAGAGGCCAAGAGGCCTCTCGCAACGCGTCCTTACACGGCCTTGACACGCCCAACAACCAAAATGTTATCGTGAAGGGTTTAGGGTTTAGGGTTTTTGGGAACTGCTGCAGCCCTCAGAACCCTAAACTAAACCCCTCTGACATCAGAAGCAGTGAACACGTAATAGACACTGAAACCTAACCAAAAACCCCGAACCCCAAACCCTAAATCCTACACCCTGAACCCTGAACCCTCAACTTAAGCCCTAAACGGCCCAAAAAGCAAAACGCTTGAACCCTAAGCCCCAAACCCCATGAGCTCTCAAAGCCCTCAGCAAGCGCGTCACCGAGAGCCTCCGGATCCGTCCCAATGGCGATGAGCTGAACGACCGGACCGTCCTAACTGCTAGAGGGATTTGGAAGTTTAGTGACTTCAGTGTCTTAGGGTTTAGTGACTTCAGTGTCTTAGGGGTTAGTGACTTCAGTGTCTTAGGGTTTAGTGACTTCAGGGTCTTAGGGTTTAGTGACTTCAGTGTCTTAGGGTTTAGTGACTTCAGGGTCTCAAAGTTTAGGGTTGTGGGTGTAGGGTTTGGGGTTTATGGCATAGGATATGGGAGCCTGAAGGATTCAGTGCTGTAGGGCGTGAGGGTCTTGGGGTTTAGGGCCTTGCAGCCTCGCAGTTTTCGGGGGGTTTGCGGTTTTTGCGCGTGTGGCATCCGGCACGACTCACAGCTATGACAATAAGACTTGACCGAGCTCATCACCGGGTCGTGGGTCTTGGAGATCTCCATGAACCTGGCAAAGGCGAGATTCCGCGAGTATAATAATAATTATAAAAATAAATAAATAAATCTATATATATATAATGATAAGAATCATCAATTAAAATGACTTGGCAGCAGGAATCAGGGGTTAGGGCTCAAATTCGGGTCTAGGGCTCAGGGGTTCGGGGCTTAAACCCTGCGCCCCCAATCCCTAAGTTTAAGCTTCAATTCCTAAACCCTAAACGATCAAACAAACTCGATAGAACCCTCGAAGTCCTTGCGGAGCGCTATACAAGTGCTTGTGAGCCAAGCTAGGAGGTCTGAAGTGGGGTTTTCCGTTTCGATTGGTTCTATGACGATGATAGAAGGACGGTTTAGGGTTTAGGGTTTAGGGTTTAGGGAAGGGTTTTGTAGGTCTAGAAGGATGCCATGCAGCGTTGCATTTGGTTGGAGGTGGCCTTTATGCGGATTCTACGGTTGTCATGTGGATTTGGGGGTCTTGCTTTAGGTGTTAGGCTCGGGCTCTGGGGTTAAGGATTTAGGCTCCGGGGTTGAGGGATTGGGAGCCAGGGCTTAGGCAGTAACCTTTAAAGGGTTTAACGAAGTGTAGTGCCACCGAATCAAAAATCTTGACAAGGATTGTTGCACATGTGAAGGCCTACTGCTTCGGCGCTGCACATCAATCAGGGGCTTACAGAATTTTTCAGTCAAGAAAGGACTGCGGCTGAATGCTTCAAATTTTAGAGCTTTCATTAGATATTGCGGATCTAGGCCTAAAGCCCTAAACCCTAAACTTGAAACCTAAACCCTGGCCCTAAACCGATTGGCTTCTCAGCTCTTCACGTTGGAGGGCAGCTATCGACTTTGCTCCAAAAGCCATGGAGCCAGCACCCGAAGAACGCAACTCCCCATATTTAGAATCGTTTTCTGATTCGAGGTTTACGGGCATACATGGCTATAACTATGCAACAGCAACGCAAGAAGAACATGTGAGCGCGTGTGGCCACCCTACACCCTAAACCCCTAACCTGTTGCTATGTTCCCGTAGTGTGGGAATCCCGATGGGACGCAACATCATACAGTGATGTAGGGGCCTTAAGAATCAGAATGAGGTTTGGGGGGATATTATACTAAAATTAGAATAAGGAACCTCAAAATAATACAGGTAATTATTAAAGCCCCTGTAGTAGGTGACTCAACGTAGGATTGCATCAAGTAGCTTTGAGCGCCCCAAAACAAAAGCCGCAATGGAGTGAAAGCACCCTGCGTGACCCTAAACCCTAAACCCTAAGAAACCAGGTGCCGAAGTCGGAGAGTAAGTTGGGGAATGCCAGGTGAACCTCTGTTCGTCTAGGACGTCGAAGGAGGCAATTCGTTGCATGTACAGCACGGCCACCACCTGGAGGTTTGATGGGTTTGGGGCATCGGCCTTACCTACTTTATCCACTCCGACTTAGATTCTCCTTGTTGTAGCTGATTAACCCCCTGTTTTTTGTCTCTAGGATCCTGCAATACGCAAAAACGGTAAGCAAGAAACAGACTCCAACGAGTGAAGGCCACTAAACCCTTGACCCTAAACCGGTTTAACCCCAAACCCGAAGCCCTAAACCCTGGTCTAGGGTTCAGGCACTCTCCACGTTTGATTTAAGAGGCTCGACTTAAGGCTGCAGCTACCGAGCTTGGGCTGCGAAACCCAAAACCCTAAACCCTGCCCAATAATCCCCTGTTCTCTCTAGTGCTCCCTCATGGATCTTACAGTGACTGGCCAGAGCAACCACAAGATAACAACTTTGGGCATCATACAAGTAACGATACTGGCAGTGATTCAAACAAAACACCATGGTCCTCCACCTCTTCCTCACAATCATCGTCGCCATCGACATCACAGTCGCCGGCATCTTATCACAATAGCGTACATCATCGCCGGCCAGGCTGTAGCCATACCATACACCCTCCCAAACGGCTACTCAGGTGGGGCTAAATCCGAAACCTGAACCCCTAAGCACGACCTTTAGGGTCTATTTCCATGCCACAAATGCCGAAACCCTCTGCCCCAAACACCAAAACTCAAACCATAAGCCCCAACCCACTAAGTCGTAAACCCTAAACCCTCTTTGCTGCGCCTTGCCGTCCAATTCGCAAACCTGACAGCTTGAAGCATCGGGGTAGTGGACGGTTGTACGGTTCAGACTTTAGGAATGTTGGTGTGAGGTACAAGATCTACAGAAAGAGTACTACTCCGTGTCTTTAGGCGATTCCGCATCCCCAAGCACAACGGGACAACAGACCTTCTCCAAAGACGCGAGGAACGAGTCCTGAAAGTAACCCCAAGTTAAAGCCCTGTAGACCTGACGCCACTAGCCCCAACCCTAAACCCTAAACCCCTAAACCCTAAACACTAAACCCCTAAACCCCTAAACCCCTAAACCCCTAAACCCTAAACCCGTAAACCCTCACCTGACTGGGGATTGGGGGTTTCGGGTTGAAGAACTAGAGTTGCGAGTCAAGGGCGGAGCTTACTCTGCAATTAATGTAGGGGCTTTTAATCTAGACATCGCATCTGGGTTTCGGGGAAGATTATGATATAGGATTCAGGATGATCCAAGCATATGATAATGAAGCCCCAAATTATCTTAATGTAAGTATATTTCATGCAAAACAAAGTACAATAATAAGGTTCCTTGTAATTCTTTTAGGCCCCCTACACCCTCAACCCTAAAACTCTAAACCC